CCCACACACACACACAGACATGCACACACACACACAGTAGGCTTATGCTTGCACACACACACAAACATGCACACACACACACGCAGTAGGCTTATACTTGCACACACACAAACATGCACACACTCACACAGTAGGCTTATACTTGCACACACACACAAACATGCACACACACACACGCAGTAGGCCTATACTTGCACACACACACAAAATGCACACACACACGCAGTAGGCTTATACTTGCACACACACACAAACATGCACACACACACACGCAGTAGGCCTATACTTGCACACACACACAAAATGCACACACACACGCAGTAGGCTTATACTTGCACACACACACAAACATGCACACACACACACACGCAGTAGGCTTATACTTGCACACACACAAACATGCACACACTCACACAGTAGGCTTATACTTGCACACACACACAAACATGCACACACACACACAGTAGGCTTATACTTGCACACACAACAGGCTCAGCTGTCGCATGCATAATATAAATGAACAGTAATATAAACAATAATAATGTTAAGCTAGATACATAGCCTACTCAGTATTCTGATTGTAACTCAATGGTATTCTGATGCATGTACTAAGGTCATATGAATACTCATAACAAGATGGTTAAGATGGAAGAAGTCTGATGGATGATAGTAAGAATGACCTTTGATCTGTGTCTTTCTGTGTTACATATATCAGAAGCTTATAGGTCTTTTAGTTCTGACTGATATTTCCTTTTGAGGGAACAAGGGATGTTTATTGTCCGAAACGATGGAATTAATTTTTCTAATGCAAGATATAATGTATAATTGATCAAAGTAGGGGAATGTAGACGTTAAAATTTTGCATGCTTTCAGTATTAATCGATTCAAATTTTCTTTCATCTTGTTGTCCTGTATTCCCGGCCCATGCTGTTTTACAGAAATTGATCATTCTTTCTGTGGTTGAATGATAGACTAACAAAAACTATTTAAATAACTGCAAAACCTATGCTTCTACTAAAAGCTCTCAGTGGGTGGGAAATGTAATGATGTAGCGTAACAATGCGGTGAATTTAATTATCCGGGGAATCGAAGGTTTTTGGATAATACCAAAGATAGACTCTTTGATAATACTTATTAATTAATTAAGTACTCGAACGAGTTTTTTGCAGGGCTAAATACTCGAGTACTCTCACACCTCAAGGCCTACTACTAACTGTGAGTTAATTATTATTATTGTTATTTCTCACAGAACATTAATTTTGACTCCCCTTGCTGCCAACACAATGTGCTCATCATGTAAGCTCCGTTGACTCAGCCCATGGCGTGCTAGTTCAGCCGGCGCACAAGGCACAGCACAGCGCCGTCATTTGAACAGAAAAATACCTACAGAATTATAAATGCAGGTTTTACAGTTTGACAGGAGAGCAAAACC